TCGTCTACTTTATTTTCAAAAAAGTGGTCATATCTTATGTATTTTCTCACAGAAAGGCGATGACGTCAAATAATAACAAATTTTGCCTATGGGAACAAAGTCTGCCATTAAACACTTTTAGCCTTTGACTCTAAGAGTGACTGGCATCAAATATATTTTTACAATATCACTTCTGATTCACTCATTAAGGTCACGAGAATAAAGAAGAAGATAAACAAAGACGCTCTTGATTGTTTAACAAATTCTCCTTGTCAACATCTTGGTGATTGTATGGAGAACAGTATGGAGAATATACAAACTGTTGTTAGGGTGTATAGGGTTCATCAGTGAAACATGAGGTACCTTCCGTTCAGAAACTTACTCAAAAACCACCTTCCTTTTCCGAGCTTCCTACATGGACGACAAAATTAATTACTGGACAATCCATCCCGTTCACTCCCGAGATGACACAAAGGATGTATCTCATCGAAATACCCATACAATTCAAGAGATTAATATAAAAAGTTTTATAGTCATAAAAATTACAGTTTCCTCGATTGTGATTGGTTTAAAAAATTCCTGTTTTCCACTAATTCACTTGCCACGTTGTCATCGGACAGCTTGTTACAAGGCAGTTCAATAAGCCAATCACGTTGAAAGTTGTAGTTTAAATCAACCAATCAAATAATTAAACAATTTACGCCTCCTTTGTCAGTCTTTTAATACAAATTTTCCCTCTCTTTCATAACTGGGCTATTCTTCTTTTCTCGGAAATTGTAATTTTATGATTGATTGTTAGAAAGATTTCGTTTCGTCCAATTCGGTCTGTAACCATACTCGTGATTAACAATCGATTTTGTTGTCATTCGTATGGTTATAAACCGAATTTGACTCCAATCAGTCCTATTATCATCAGTTATAATCTCTTATACAATTATAAGCCGACACGCGTTTGAACAAAGAAAAAAAATTGCACAGAGTTACATTGTTTGATTTAACATCAAAATCTCAAAGCAAAAATGTATTGCAGATAGTGCAATTAATTGATATTCAGATCTCGGCAGTGATGGGGTTTTTCCAAAAATTAGTTAAATTCGACACCCTTCTCCGCATGTTGCTATTTTTGTTGTTTTTGATGTTGATCACATCTCATCCAAAAGTATTATCAGCACTTATTCAATATAATCTAAAATATCTTGGATCAAAAATAGATATAAACCAGACTGGATTGAAGAATGTTTTGTTACAGGAAGGAAATTAAATCAATCAGATTGTATCATTAGGAATAGACAATTAAAAAAAATGCTTTTCTTCATAGCACGTAACCTTTGGTAACTAAAGAACTGATTTCATTGCCTTTGCTGGTTAATAAATTAGTGCCAGTCTTCTACATTTGTATCTTCGACATAACTTGTTGTATGCGATTAAGTAGTACAACGCAAACGTAAATACACCAGGCAATCTTGTCTGAAACTTGTCTTCTGACGGCGCAGCAAATGGCACGAGACAGGTTGGAAGAAAAATCATCTTTTGTTTAGGGTATTTAAAAGTCTGCAACAAGCCTCTTCGAGAGAAATAGCTAAAATCTACCAGTTTTAAGGACTGAAAATTAACCATTCGACTAGTCTCAGGAATTCTTTCTGCCAATTCCTTCATATCTCCTTTGGGTTCGAGGAACCAGCCGCTAAAATCAGTCGAAGCAATCTGTCCTCTTGTGCGCGCTTTCACCAACCCACAAACTATCAGAAATTGTTCACACTTATATCAGACTCGCATTAACTTTAGCAAACCGTTTTCTGATAAGGATCAATATAAAAATACTAACATATTTTTGGTTGATATTGTGTTAATATCACAAAACAAACAAGACCTTCCGTTGAAAGCTTAAGATAGACTGTCTCCAAGACAGCAACGGCAAACATAGAGGGGCTGTTCAAGAAATAAATGGTTTTGTTTATCGTCAAGAGGCTAAAAGTATATTGCTCGCATAGTGAGCTGTAGCGAGCGAAATACTGTGAGTTGGGTAGGAGTGCAGGTGTATGTCGTAGAAACAGTCAGAGTCCGCGTCGAGAAGAGAAACTGTAAGGTGATTTGGTTTTCCTATATTCTGCGCTTCCTAAACAAATTGCAAGGTGAACACGACACTCGAAAGCTTAGAAATAAATAAGGATCTTTAATTTGAGATCGATCGTTTAAAATATGTTAAAAAAACGAATGAAACCTAGAACGAACAAAAAAAGCAGAAGTGGTAACATAGTGGTTCCATTCACAGTGAGCGACTTTCGACAAGAAGAAACTGAAACTATAGACCAACAAGTTCATGTAGTACTTTTGAAATGCAGTTGAACGTGAATAATCAAAGTACTGACTCCAAAGTCGTGGACGGACAAAGAGATCTTTACAATAGAGTACACACCGTTTCTTAACGCAAAAGAAGCGTAGTCGCAGTCTGTCCATGTGGATAAATTAAGCCGAAGTTTTGCAAATTCTCTAAGAACAAACTGCTTAAATCCTCTCGAACTTTATCCATCTTGGCTCTTGTTTCATTCTTGCGTCTTTTTCGTTTGGCGAACTCACCGAGCCTTCCACTATGTACTCGTTTCCTTCAACTCTTTAAACCCCGAGAGCGATCAACATCTAACTGCTCTTCACAGTCATACTGCTAAATCATTCATTAAGTTCGTGAGAATAAAGGGCATGATGGCCAACTTAAATCGAACCAAAGAAGCTTTGATTGTTAAACGAATTCCGTTCGTCACCGATGGAAATGCACGGAGAAGAATATGGGGAATAACAATGATGATGTCAACGTATGTAACAATTTATTGAAAAGTTCGACATCTGTAATTACCCCACCGTGACGCCATGTTTACTACGACATTTTAAAATGAGTATTCAATTCTTAAAAACAGAGTCAATGAATGGAACCCTTGTTCACAGACATACAAAACATTCATTTTAATTCAAAACACCCTTTGGAGCGATGCCATCCTTTGCAAAGTTTTATCCTTTTCCTCGAAAGAAACGTAAAGAAAAATGTCCGTGTTTTGTAGTTTTTTCTTTTGTGGATAATCAAAATAACAAAAATAGTTGATACCCAGAGGAAAAAAATCATTCCTAAGCTCACATGAAACTTGAAGACATCATCTTATTTTCCCTTTCCTTTGAAGGGAACATTTGAATGAATCGTGGATCGAAAGGTTTAAAATTTATTTATTTATGCAAGCAAGGAAGTATCCTCTTACAACATGGAAACCGTACTTATTCACAGAATAAACTTATTCAAAGAGCAAAATAAAGGACCTCGCCGGGCGAAGCATTCTTTTTAACCGACACGGTGAAAGTAACCAATACACTTATGAAAGTAATATTTCAATCGCAAAATCTTACAGCTGTTCTTCAGTAAAGAAGAAGTCTTAATCTTATGGTAGACTGCAAAGTGCAATCTATTCCTATCTCTCAGTGTGCGTGCCCACAGCCATACAAGAAAAGTTATTTTACAACGCGAAAAAAGAAACCTTTAGAGCATTCGAAACGAGAACATATCAGGAATTCACCCACTTGAAACTTCGTTCTTAAAACCAAAGATAAACTTGACTTTCTTGTGAACTCACGAAAACACTCGATCAAAAATAATCAGAGAACAGCTTTTGACGGAAGGGTTTGTGGACCAACGATGACGCACCTAGCGGTTTCCAGATTTCAAGATGCTCACCGCAAAATAGTTACTCACAAGAACACATGTAAAATGCCTCGTGTTGCTACATTATTGAACTTTCCATTGCATATTCAAAGATTTTCAAATTATTGCTGTATTTACGTCATGACCATCAAAGGTCATGAACCTGCATCAAGGATATTTCTTTATTTAGAGGACAGACGTAGGTGTGGAATTTAGCACGAATAACATCAACACATAGTTATATTTCAAAATATTAAAGGATATTACATTCAATCTTATCTTATCAAAAGGAACACTTTGCTACCCTTCTACATTTGGAAGTCGTCTGTGTGTACTTAGTAAAATGGACTTAACAAAATAATTCGCCGGAATGGAAAGGTTCCAATATCTCTTAAACTAATATAACCGATTAAAAAGCCGGCAACTTTTCCTTGTAATATCAATTCATCATTTGGCAAGTAGATGATTGATAAAATGTCAGCCAGTGGGGGTTATCTCGGTATAACCCAAATTCCCTCTCTCATCAACAACGAAATATCTTCCTTTGCCAACATTACCAGCAGAGTCAACAACAGAGGCTAAACATCATTCACTCGCGATCTATCTTACGCCATTTTTAGGTCAAAAAAATGTAGTGCGAATTTGTTTCCGATGAAATCTGGGTAGAGTTCATACCCAGACCTTTGTACCGAGTATTGCATCTAACATGTTAAATTCGTTTGGACACCACGACCAACATCTTTCAATAAAGTTCAATTCAACAATATGGAATGATGTTGGATCCTTTAGGCTAATCTTTCAAAGAGACAATATGCTACAGAAACAATATCATTTTATCTTCACCATTAAAAATGTATGGAATGAATGACACTGAAGGCAGTTCTAGTAAATTCCAAGGAATAACCTCACCTTTCGAAAGTTGCCTTTAAATGTGTTAAAAATTCGATTATGGAAGCTGCCATTTTGAATACTGCTTAGCAACCAGACAGCTTTCCTTTGACATCACAACCTTTCATCCAAGCTAACTTTTACTTTCTCCCGGTAATCTCTTGAACAATAAAGAGCTCCACAAAAAGATGCTTTTGACTCCAAAAGTGAGAAAAAAAAGATTTCTGTGTGTTACTTTGTTTACCGCGATGATCAGAGAAGCAGTTGTTTGGGAGCCGCTCAAAAAGGTTATGCGAGTGCGGCCAGGTTACTGAGTCTTGAAATTACTGAGGTTCGTGACTCTTTGAAGTCGCATAACGCAGCTAGTGTCTCATTTTCGTGTATAGGTAGAGAAATGGTTTCTGGAGAATAATTCTCCTTAATTTGAAGTAAGTAATAAAACTAACCATACCTCGTAATTTTGAGGAAGAAAGTGACCACAGTCAAATTGTAAATTGACCAACTGATAAACTTGCTCTCGTTGAAGGCGGATGGCGCTTTCCTGACGTTATAGCACAGGTGGATTCCCCAGAACAAGAAGAGTATTTCAACTAACAAAGGCAAGAAAGAAATTCAACAAACTCTACTCAGCACTGGCGGGAAAAACGTATGCAAAATGCGGGAGGAGACAAATGATAGAGCATGAGATCCCTTTTCTCTAGGATATTATCAAAACGCGATTGACAAAAAGCACTGATGGTGAACCTACAGGCCTAAACGTAGAAAGAAAGTTACTTCTTTGTAATTTTTGTTGTTGTCGTTGTATTTTTTTTTTTTTTTTTTTTTGAGTAGAGTGAATGAGGCCTAAGTTTAACTTACATATCAAAATGGCATGGTCCCACCAGTCAAAGGAGCACTCATGGAACTTAAGATCCCCTGGCATCTTCATTTCTACCACGTGACTCGGGCCGGCTAGTGACCAGGCCAGCAGATAAACCACGTACAACGCCAGAATGGGAGCGAGGCGCTGGAGAAGATGGCGATCAGTGAGCTTTATCTTCTGTGCAGATTTAACACGAAATATCACGGAAATTCTGCAAAAGAAAAAAATAGCAGAAAAGTTACGATCTTCGCTATGCATCATACGGTAACTTCTACAAACTATATGGCTGAGATGCGATCGCTCTGATTGGTAAATTAAGTGCGCTATAGGAAAACGCTAAGGAAACCTGGAATAATTCACATAGTAATTAACAGGGCAAAAGTCCTTTTGATCTCTTCAGTTAAATGATCATTTTTGCGCAGGATAAGGATGAAGAAGTCAAGCTTCTAGCCTTGGTAGGTTACCATACTCTCTTCGTTATAGTGTCACGCTCCGTGCACTCCGCTGTAAAATGTCTAAATTTTTTATAAGAGCTGTTTGCTTTCGAAACGTATTCAGTTAACTATTGTTCTGATTTCTATAAAATCTCAACTAAGGGATTTGAAACAGTGGTGTTGCGTCGGTGGGAGGCATTACACGATAATTTGCCTTTACAAACTGAGGTGATAATGTTAACTGGTCGCCGTAAAGGGTTTTATAGCTGACGGACGTTTCGAGACTTTGTCCTTCGTCAGAGCGTATAGAGGAATTGTGGGTGCTTTATGGAAAAAAAGCTACACCATTATATTAGTGAGAACAGCGTAACGTGAAAAACAAAAGTATAAATTTTTTGAATGAAAGCGTTCGTTGATACCGTGGAAAGAAAAAGTGCCATTTGAAAGATAAATTCCTCAAATGGCTCAGACATAGGGCCAACACTCGAAACGTCAGCTTTAGAAATTCTTTACAGTTGCCATTAACATTATCAACTCTGCTTAAAAATCCAAATCACCATTTTAAACTTAGTATAGTTAATCAATTACTGGGAAAACCGGCTAAAACAATGATGCTGTACTTTATGATGGGAACTCTTCGACCGCTCACGATCTTTGTTTTTGTTTTGTAACTAATGGAGCATCTGTATGATTTCCAGACTCAGTTACCTGCACAATCATCACAAGAGAAATTTCAGATCGCTCTTAACCCTCTAATTCGTGAGAGACTGGTTTCTTATTTATCCCCACATTATTATCCTTGAATCAATTGTAAAGGCCATGAGAATAAGAGAAATGGTCACAGATCTACGAAGTACCTGATTGTCAAACAAATTTTCCTAGTCATTACCAAAGTAACTGTAGAGTGAACATCGGTGGACAATATGAATATTATTGTCAGGTTTTATGGGGTAACAACTCCTTTGGCTGAACCCCTGGAAATTGTTACAACATTGACTTGAAAGAAAAAAAAAAAGCATAAACAATAAGAAACTCACCTCCAAGTTTTGAGGAGCAATGAGGTGAAACCAAGTCCAAATCCAATGTGGCGAAACCAAAGACGAACGATACATAAAGTATTCTGCGATTCAGGATACAGCACAAGAATCTGACGCGACGGAAACAGAGACACAGTTATAGCCGGGGATTTCAATAACTTTTCCATGGGCCGCGGTGCCGAAAAGACGAAACCCAAACACGAGAGCCTGCGCGCTGGCTAAACAGAAAGCGGTAAGAGATCTTACGACAGAAGCTATGCCGCCTATAACTGGCTTTACTGATACTTCTGTGGAGCCATTGGAACCTATCATGATAACTACTCTAAATAATCACTTTTTCTTGTGCTGCTGTTCTTTTTGTTTTGCGTATGTGTGAAATTTGCCTGTTCAGTAGCACAGCTGTCATTCTTCATGACGGCCTGTTTTCAACAATTTTAAGGAAAATACACATTTACGTCTCGTTTTAGTATTTCAGTTAATAATCCTTTCTTTTCAGGCCAATTATACATTTCATTCGCGTTGAATGTGTTCAAAAGATACGAAATCTAGGTTTTGTTTGATCTGGGCCGTTTTTCCTTGACCTGAGTTTACTATATTTCGTGTACGCAGTGATTAAAGCCCAGCCTGTTATGCTGTTATGTCTTGAAAGACTCGTAGTGCAACTCAACTAACCTCGCTATACGACAACATACATCCTGCTAATATAATGACAAGAAAATGGGGACTAGCCGTCTTCACAACCTGCAAGAAGAAGGCACATGGACCGAGTTAATTTGTTTTTTTCGACTTAGTATAGAAATTTGCCAATAGTACATCACTGCGAGCTAACGGTAAATTCGCCACAACATTTCTAGCGAGATAATGATTTAAGCATTCTCAGCTGACCAGATTAACGAAAAAATTTCGTTGTGGAACCCCACCAAACTCACCCGCCCTACTGGATCCCTCCAACTCCGAATTTTCTAATCCTTAGTGGAAAACGATGCTCTATCCAAGACGACAGAGGTAAATTCTACACCCAGCAGAGAAATTTTCTCTTTGGAGTGGTCCATAACTATAGCTTTGTATGAAAGCACTGACGGGAGAAGGATGGGGAATTTCTAACTCACTACTAATCAGGAAACTCACCTTCAATTCACGGAAGTACAAAATAAACGCACTTATCCCAATGGCGGCCAGGATAGTGACCACAGTCAAACCCATCAACGCTCTCCTTAGCGGCCAGTTCAATGTTACAATGCACGGGGAATCATCCACACATGCATCACAGCCAGGCTGGCACTTGATGCATTGAAAGGAGTCTGGGTTCGAGTAATACCTGTGACTTGGCTCAACGGCTGCGGCCTCGATTTCAGATCCGTTGAAATATTTCGCGTGAGAGGTAACGTTCGGGAAATAGTACCCAGGCCTACACACGCATTTGTAGGAACCGGCTCTGAAACCGAGTCCAGTTACAGGCAGGCACTTTTTTAGGTAAAAACGGAAAAGAAAGGGATCGATCAATATCAAACTAAAACTAATACCTCATCGAATCCAAGCTATAAAAAGTTTTAAACCTGTTTTGTTAATTAAGCACGATTTAAGATTGTTCCTTCGTGAAAGATGCATAAACTTGACCTCAAATTTGGCTCATTGAAAATAGAATTTACTGATTACATGAACCCCATGCAAAATATAGTCCCTGCTTGCTGCTTTTCATTCAGCAAAACCTTGTTGAACTAAAAGTTTTTCGCTGATGTGAATGTGGTACATGATGTGAACAGGGCAAGTGCCAAACGGTACTATGACCGATTTTCATCGGACGAGGGGAGCAAGGCTGCTTGTAACACAAGTTCGCGCATGAAAACTGGCGAAAACAACTTGAAACAATATAAAATTTACGGCAGTTTTATTCTCCAAATTCTCGTCTCCTCTGATCCTGACGAAATACTATGGTCTAAGATTGCAAAACTTCCGACTGTTGAAAGACGGTAGCTGCAAAATTTTGCAAGGAAACGGAAGTAACGGGATGCAGCTTTCGCACGACAAGCTAAGTGTCGTGATTTATTGCTTGTTAGCTGGTGTGCAATGATAGCTGTCATTTTACTTTTTCATGGTCACTTTTAATTGCGCATCATGTTGCAAAAGTGTTAATGACTAGTTCATGACATGTGCAGTTGCCTCACCTGAGTGGTTTCATTTTTACATCGATGGGTACCAGCGAAAATTTCGAACTGAAACTTGCCCTCAGAGCCCTTGTCACACTGATTTATGTCGACATTCGTAAGAGCGATATCAATTGTAGTCATGCCCCTGGAAGAGTCACAGAACAGGTAAAAATAGTAAGAATATCAACCAATGATTATGTCTAGAATATTTATATTACACAAAGTACTCTCTTTCCCCATTCAAAGTGGTACAATCACAGGAAACAAAGTGAAACCAGTGTACTGGGAGAGGGGCTAAAAGCAAGTGCATCCAGGATATAATTGGTATTCACGCCCAGAATATTGCGGCTTTAGTGGTTAAGTGCCGACAATTTTCTTGTTGAAAGTAGTTGTCTCTCTAGCCTCAGTCAATTACCCTTAAGAGTATTTAAGATATGATTCATGATTGTTCGTTATAGCTGCAAAGAATTAGCTTGTGCACAAGCTCCGAGTAGTTCATCAAGACAACTTAGCTTAGCTTAGCTTGTGCACATGCATCCGAGTAGTGCACAAGACAACGTTCTTCTCTTTGACTGATAAGTTGTCGAATCCTTTATCACATGTTTGTTTGCGATATTGTACTGATATAATATTGTGACTAGAAGTTTGGGCTGCCTCAGTCGAAAGAAAGTAAGGTGACAGGTACGAATGCAAACATTTCCTTGAGATTCAGAGGAAAGTCAGTGGTTGAATTGATTTCCCGCAGTGAAGTTTATTTGACTTTTCTACCTTTTTTGCAGAGCCAGAGCTAAAAAATAAAAATTCTATTTATCAATTAAACCATTGATTTTTCTTTTGAATTCAAATAAACATTGACTGTAAAAGAAAAAATGTACAATAAAATAAAACTGAAATGAAAAAAAAACGCAATTCAGGTGAATTTGACAGAATATCTTTATATCTATATATCTATATTACCACCTAAAGAGGAGATATCTAGTGTAAACTTACATGAAGGAGATCGATCCATTACTGTCCCAGTTGCCAAGTATAGGAGAAGTGTACGTTATTAACCAGGCTCTCGCTGTGGTGCACTCGAAGTAAGGACGGCTCCATAGTCCATCGATAGACTCCACAAACTTGTGCGTGAGTTTTAGCCGTTTCGGTGCGGAAGAAATATCATTTTGTTCATAGAAGTATGTGGTTCGCTCCGGAAAAGGCCTTCCGCGTGATTTAGACTTCATTAGCCTCACAAATGCTTCGTGAAGATAACTCCAGCCGGCAGACAGATCTGTGACTTTAATGAAAGTATCATTTGCGTTTCTGTAGGCGTACGGTGCATAAAACGAGTTGTTTATAAAGCTGTTATTGTCAAAAATGATCGCTGAACCTACAATAAGCGGGTCATTTTCAAGGTTGTTCCTTACAATCGCGTGAAGAACTTCCCTGTGCGTCTTCAGCACTGGTTTCCCGGAAATATTCAATGTTTTAGCGGAGCCTGTTGGTAACAGATCGGAGATTAAATTTGCTGTGCGAATGGCGAGGTTGGCTTGAGCGGTGTAGACGCTATTCTCGTATTTAAAATACAAAAGCTTCAAGCTTCTCTCGGCCAGCATTGTTGTGCAGTCGACAGTGCCGTTGTGCACCTCTTCGATGGCTTTCAGTGCCTGTCGCGCTGTCATGTTAAAGGCTCCTGAACGATCATCTTTCACTGGCGGACGGTACGGGTTGTGGATAGATGGATCGTCTTTGTAAAGCAACTTATCTGCTGCGTTGCTATCGCAAATACAAGAAATTACAGCGAACGTGCAGAGCGAAACCAGTACATTTACCATCCTTGCGGTTCCACTGACTGTCTGGCGTCGCAAAACTGTTTGTTCTCGTCTTTCAAGCCACTTTTGATCAAAATGCAAATCGATGTTGTGATTCGAGGTGCTAATGGAATTTACACAGACCAAAACGAAACCTTTTCAACGCGAGCGACGAAGTAGAATGGATCCAGTGCAAACAGACACATCGAATGTACATGCACGTTGACAGATTACCCAAGGATAGTCGTGTAGTTAATTACAAATCTTAATTGTCATCAAATCAAATCACAATCGAAGCACATGAAACATGTCACTGTAACCCAGGACAGTTTCGTAGTTTGTTTAGGTCGTAACCAATAAACTTAAGTCAACAAACGCAAGTAGTATTTCGAAAGTAGATGACTGCTATTAATAACAAAGTAAGCGACAAGAACGGTTGTGTCATACCTTCTTCACGTCGGGCTTTCTGACCCAGATATTTTTTTCCGTCAAAAGATAACTCAAGATTGATACGCGCTAGTTCTGCACCTTTGCAGGATTTTGTTTGACAGAGAGAATAGCGCTATTGTGACGGGGAAGTTAATAAGTAGATTGAAATCAAACAGACAAAATTAAAAAACAGAAAATTGACGCTAGTGGGTGTTATAAATGTTTGGCTAGGATTATGTCGGTCCTCTCTGTTAAATCAAGAACTGAATGTAATCGTCTCTAGCACGGAATCAATAAGACGCACAGTTTGAACTGTCCCTAGCAATGTAAAGCAAGTTGATGAAAATTACGTTTCTGTTCAAGCAATTGAAGGAGTGAACTTAATTAATGGGGCACTTTTCTATAAGCGCAAATAGAGGATAAATATCACCATGACATGTCATCTTGTTGATCGAAATGTTCAATACAGATCTCCGTAAAGTTAGACGTTTCAACGTCGAGCGCGCGTCGAACCTTTACGTTAGTGAGAGGGGAAGACCAAATAGCAGGGAAGAAAAATTAGACTAATAATAATTTGTAAAGGTATCAAAAGCGAAGAGAGCGCTGTTAACCCTTTGACCCCCTACGAGTGACCAGCATCTGACTTCTCCTTCCAATATCTCCTTCGAATCACACATTGAGGTTGCGAGAATGAAGGAAATGATCACCAACGAAAGAAGCTCTTGATTGTGACACAAATTCTCCTTTTCGACACCTCAGGAAATTTATAGAGAACAGTATCGAGAATATGCATACTATTGTTGGGGTCTAAAGGGTTAAAATCCTTGTATTTCCCCTACATCTGTAGTGAGGTAGACAACTAGCCATCTGGTTCGTCTCGAGTCGACATGGAGCGAGAGCTCTGAGCACGAGGAGACTGGGCTAGACTGGTGTGATTTTATCATCCAACTTCCAGGCTACCATTTCAAACGTCAATTTTGCGATTTCTTTTCTCACACGCTCCCAGACCGTAAGACAAAAAAAACCGACCACAAGTAGCCTATCCACCGCCTATAGTAGCCTGTATCCACTATTATTTTTCGAGCATGACGTGAAGTCAAA